CATTATTCATCCATAAAAAAGGAATGATGTTCTGGTTCGTGGTACCATGTAGATGACCCTGAAAAAATTATGCTAAGTGAAATAAGCCAGATCAAAAGGACAAATATTATATGATTTATATGAAATACCTACAATAGGTAAATTCATAAAGACAGTAGTTTAGAGGTTCCCAGGGGTTGGGAGGCCACAGGGAGTAGGGTGTTATTACTGAATAGATACAGAGTTTCTTTGAGTGATGAAAAATTTTGGAAATAGACAGTGGTGGTTGCACATTTTGAACATAATGTCACTGAATTGTATACTTACAAATGGCAAACTTTATGTTAAGTGTATTTTACCACAATAAAAACAATGAAGCAAAAAAATTTTTAAATTTTAAGAGAAACTTTCAAGTTAAGAATTCTTGAATAGGGGCAGCACCTGGGTGGCTCAGTTGTTAAGTATCTGCCTTTGGCTCAGGTCATGATCCCAGGGTGTTGGGATCGAGCCCCACATCGGGCTCCCCGCTCCCTAGGAAGCCTGCTTCTAATGTCTCTGCCAAATAAATAAAAAATCTTAAAAAAAAAAAAAAGAATTCTTGAATAAACAAAAGAAAGAAAATAGTAAGCTGAAAAATATTTTTCCTAAACACAAAGGACTAATATACAGAATTCCTACAACTCAACAAAGCAGCATACTAAAACTCCGATAGATTATGGAAATATAAACAGTCAATAAATTAATAACAAAACCTTCAACTACAATAACAAAATTAGAAATCCACATTACTATGATCTGAATGTTTGTGTAGCCCCAAAAGTCATACATTGAAAACTTGATGCCTAGGGTGATGGGTGTTAAGAGGGAAGCGGATTAGATCATTAGGGAAGAGCCCTCATGAATGGGATTAGTACCTTATAACAGGCCCTAGAGAGCTAACTTGCTCCTTCTGCCACGTGGAGGATACAGGGGAAGTGTGTGACCAAGAACAAGGCCCTCCCCAGACTGGCACTCTGATCTTGACTTCCAGCTCCCAGAACTGTGAGAAATTTCTACTGTTATAAACCAACGAGTATCTGGTATCTTGTTCTATAACAGCCTGAATGGGACTAAGACACAAATTCAATCTAGTACTTTTGCACCTACCACACTGGCAACAATGATTTCTTTCTGCATGCTTGTTTCATAGGCTCTTTGCTACATACTGCCAAATAGTTTTGCAGCAAGCCCCACAAAGGCTTTAATAGTAAGAGTGAGACCAAGCGGGTGCCTGGGTGGCTCAGTTGGTTAAGCGACTGCCTTCGGCTCAGGTTATGATCCTGGAGTCCCAGGATCGAGTCCCGCATCGGGCTCCCTGCTCAGCAGGGAGTCTGCTTCTCCCTCTGACCCTCTTCCCTCTCGTGCTCTCTCTCTCTATCTCATTCTCTCTCTCAAATAAATAAAATCTTTAAAAAAAAAAAAAAAAGAGTGAGACCAAGCATTCACATACACGCACTTACTGAACTTTGACAACAACCAGAAACATGAGTACTCCTTTTAGATGTGAGGATACTGGGACAAACTGCTTAACTTGCTAGAGATCCCCAAACCAGTCAGGGGCAGGGCTAGGGTTCTCACCTGGGGCAATCAGACCCCACATCCTGGGGGCTTTAATAACACCTAGCAACCTCCATGAAGGACAAGGACATGCGCAGGCACTGGTTAAGACAGTGCCCTTAAGAGTATAAACTGGCACAACCTTTCTTGGAAATAATTTGACAATACACAGGCTTACAGATATATTTAATATAATCCTCTTCCTCCTGGTCAGACTACAGTATCTTAATATCAAACATAAAATACGGGCACCTGGCTGGCTCAGTCAGCAGAGTGTGTGACTCTTGATCTCAGGGTTGTGAGTTTGAGTCCCATGTTGGGTATGAAGGTTACTTTAAAAAACTAAAATCTTAGGGGTGCCTGGGTGGCTCAGTTGGTTAAGTGACTGGCTTCGCCTCAGGTCACGACCCCAGGGTCCTGGGATTGAGCCCCGCATCAGGCTCCCTGCTCGGCCGGAAGCCTGCTTCTCCCTCTCCCACTCCCCCTGCTTGTGTTCCCTCTCACGCTGTCTGTGTCTGTCTCTCTCTGTCAATTAAATAAATAAAATCTTTAAAAAAAAAATCAAACCTAAAATAAAGATGCTCACTAAGATTTTCACATACAGATGTTCATGGATAAATTATCTTAAAAATGGAAAAACAATCCAAAATTAAGGTATGATTGAATAAATGATAACACAAATATTATGGGATATTGTACAGTTATCAAGTTATGTTCACAAGGAGTTCGAGGTAAATGACTAAATGATGAAAATATGTGATAATTATGAAACTATCAATAGTCCATTAAAAATTGCAGTAAAAAGACTAGGAGGAATATGCTAATGGTTAAGAGTGAACATGTTCATTGGGTAAGAAATTTGAGAAGGCTCACCACCATGCCTCCAGTTCCTGAACAGCAGGTGCCCAAAAACTTACTGAATTTCTTCATGATAGGATTACGAGATCATTTTCTTCCTTAGCTATCACCTCTGAATTTCAAATGAAAAAAAATTATATAAAAACAAACATTTAAAGGGAATAAGCCTGAAGTGCCATGGTAACAGTGAAATGTCTCGAGGAAGCACCACATCTGGTTCACTCCCATCTTCCCTCTCTGGGGGGTCTGGGTCTGCCCCTTCTCTGAGCTACAACTAGGTCATCTTTACTAAGCTGCTCCCTGAGGACCAGTACCAGGTGGTCAAGGCATGCGTCTGGACTACTATGCCTTTACTCTCAGGCCCTGCTTTCACCCCAGCAGGGTGGACCCTCAACTCAAGTATGCTGCATTCTACCAGACAGTCTCCACCTTGGACTTATGAAACCATAGCCCATTCCACAGGCTCCACCAACAGGACATCAGAGGGAGGCCTTGGGGCATGCTCTGGGCAGAGCCTGATGACAGCCACCTACCCTTGGAGCCGGCCTGCACTCTCAGGCCACTGAGATCACAGGGCAGACTGCCCAAATCTGACTGCTCAAAACCGTCCCACTCATTTTTTTTTTTTTTAAGATTTTATTTATTTATTTGACAGAGAGAGAGACAGCAAAAGAGGGAACACAAACAGGGGGAGTGGGAGAGGAAGGAGGCTTCCCGCAGAGCAGGGCCTGATGCGGGGCTCAATCCCAGGACCCTGGGATCATGACCTGAGCCGAAGGCAGACGCTTAATGACCGAGCCACCCAGGTGCCCCAGTCGTCCCACTCATTCTTACCATTTTTCAAAAGATCCATGGATTAACTCTTCTTCTATCAGTAGGATACAAAAATCTCAATTAGAAAAGGGACAGGTCAGATGGTCCTGGCCATCCTTCCACTTGGCACCTAACAATTCCCTACAGCAGGTAAGCCGTGCGGTCACCGGCTAAACCCTCCTAGCCAGGGGCTCCTCTACCATCTCCACACTGTGCCCTGAGTCCCACCATCTCCAAGCCTGGAGAAATCTCAAGGACTCACCCTCAAAACCAGACTGGATGCTCCCACATTTAAAATTTCTGAGTGTGTACTGAAACACTACAAAAGCATATCTTTCCTTCGTTATTCAAATGATCACGAAAATAAAGCATGAATCCAATAGCTGCTGTTCAAGTTGCAAGGACTTTTAAAACCGGCAATGAGAAGAAAACATCTACAGCAAGCATATTCCGTGTTCCGCTTTGGTTAAAGTAGCCAATCTGCCCATAAGGAAAGATTCTGCACAACAATGTAGGGCAGGGACAGGCACAGGAAAAGGGCCTGAGGCTCATGGGCAAAGTGGGGATGAAAAGAGGAGGCAGTGGAGACAGAAGAACAGAAAGGAAGGGAGCACTCCAGATGAAGTCCTGGTCGGGAGCTGGGGAGACTAGAAGGCACATGGCATCCAAGTGAGGCCACCTCATGGACAAATGGTGTGGTTCTGGGGAGAGGGCAGGAATAGAGGCAAGGACAGGACTCCATGTACAGCAATAATCTAGTCATCTATGATGCTGGAAGAAGCAGGGGCCCCAAGAAACAGCACGAGAGAAAGGCAGGGGACTAAACAAGGTCCGTGTCTAAGAGCTCAGAGGAAGCAGCAGCAGGACAGCAGTAAGTGGCACAAGGTCACAGAACCAGGGGCTGCATAGGCTCCAAAGGCTCGAGAGGCAAGCGGGCTCTAGGGCTGCTGAGCCTGAGGCGTGAGAACAGAGGGGAGCCCACGTGCTCAGTGTGAGGTGGTGCCAGGAGGGTGGGAGAAACTGGGATTGCAAACTGGAGTTAGTACAGGACGAGGCTCTCAAGGGGTGAGGAGATGAAAGGATGGAGAAAGAGCAGACACTAAATCAAGAGGACAGGAAGGCCATTGTTAGGAGCAAGCCTGAGCCCATCTGAAGGCAGACGTCTGTGAGGCAGAGGGAGAAGGAACTGTGGGGGTCAGAAAGTAGAGGCAGAAGCCCCAAACAAGACAATGGGTGAGGGGACCGGGTAGGCCATTAGGCAAAGGGATTTGAAACCAACGGAAGGCACATACTGGAGGGTACCAGGAATAAAGCCTGGAACGCAAGTGTCCAGAGGGTTAGACACACAGATGCAAAACCAGGCAGGGAAGCAAAGAAAAGATCTAGATGGGAACGGCTGCCATCTCCCAAGAGAGGTCAGAGAAGGCAGCCCCGTCTGGACAAACGGGGCCAGGCACAGAGAAGCCAGGGAAGACAGGGGCACAAAAACATGCTCCTTTCCCCTGGCAATATCCACAGACATGGAAAGCTCAGGGGGCCCCCCCCAGAATGTTACAAAACCAGTGCAAAGACAGGATTCTACTCACGCACCTGAGGCTAAGGTCCCTGCCTCGTTATATCCTAGAGTGACAGCCCGCTTCTGTGATCTACTGGCTGCCTCACCTAAGAGCCTACTTGGGAGCAGAGAGGTAAGCCCAACACGCACATCACCTTGAAGAATAATCTGGTAAGAAGTGGAAGTGTTCAATACTCACAGGAACAATAAGCCCTTGCCAAGTCAATAAATTAGCTTCATCAACCTGGATGTTACGGAAGTTTTTCATTCCACATTTGCGGATTTCTTCAAGCTCCTGTTGATTAACAAAGCATAAAGGGGTGTCAAACAGGGGAAAGCACCACACATTAAGATCCCTCCTGACTCCCTCAAATTAAACTGAGTGCCAACACTACTGATGACCAAATTTCAGAGTGTGGACTAGTCTGCGCCCGGTCTGGTTAAGAGGCCTGGAGCCACAATGTCCCCTCAAACCCATGCCCCAGACCTAGACAGGCCCCCACCTCAGTGACCCCACAGAACTTAGTGGGATAGATAACTGCCTTCTGCAGACATATCGCCTCCTCTTGGGGCTGGTCACCAGACCTCTGCTTGAATACCCTCAGACCCCTGCACAGGGCAGCCATGCAGCAGGGGTGCAAGAAAGGTGCTACAGACCTGACTCCTTCCAACCAAGATTTATTAAGCTATGAGTCAGATGCCGAGGACTAGGAGCAAACACATACCCTCCAGGTTTTCTACCCAGGGCATAAGTGTGATTTCAGATCTCCGACTCAGCATGGACACTCGGCAAAGAGAACAACTATCCAGACTGGGATGGGGAGGGGGACAGGAGCCTTTCACTGGCCCTCCGTTTCCTCGGCTTCAAAACAGTAGTTAAGACCCAGAGCTGAACACAATGAAGGGGAAACCCTGTTGTATGCAACAGAACCCTTTGCAAACGAGGGATTATTATACAAACTGTCCATGCAGCAAATGCCACTTCGTCCAGAAAGCATGGCCACGGGGACTAACCACTTCAGGGCCCTGCCTGAGAGGTCTTTAGTCTACAATTGTCTGTCACTTGTTTTTCAACTGTGCACCACTGCTTATGCAACAACTCCAGTCAACATCCAGCAAACATTATGACCCAAGACCCAATGTGGGCCGGCCTGCTCACATTCCCAACATTCCTCCATTCTCAGACCCCTGCAGTGACACAACCCCTCCAAAGTCCCAACCTGGCCTCTTGTCCTTGGTACACAAGCCTCCTCTGCATCTCTTGGGTACCTTCTTCTGCATCCCTAGAGCACCACCCAGCTAAGGAGGCAGGACAGCTTCCTCAATGGCCCTGGCTTCCTCCTTGTTGGTCTAGCCCATGCACCCTTTTGCAACTGAGAAGCCCCTCCCTGTGTGGTGTGGCTCACAATGGCACAGAGGCTCCGAACCAGCCTCTCCATAAAGCCCAAAAGATCCTCTGCACCCCACATTCCCATCACACAGGCAACAGTTCACAAGGTCCCCTGGGGAAACAATTCCAGAGGAAGTAGGAACTGAGCCAGCGTTATAGGTTCTAAGTAGGAGGATGTATGTGTGCTCGGCATGGTGCAGGCTGAGAAGGACAGTGTCTCAAATGAACAGACAGTTGGGACATGCTGGTGCTTCATGGCAGGCGACACACCCGACCAAGTTTCTTCCCACAGAGTGCTGCTGCTTGTCAAGCCTAGCTGCCCACCACAACCATCTGGGCTTAGGCCCCAGCCCTGGAAATTCTGGTCCAGCAACTGTGGGGTGGAGTCTGAAATGTGGATTTTTAACAAGCTATGCAGTGAGAAGAGAGAGCCACTGCCACTGAGAGAAGAGCTCCATTTCTAAGCAACGCTCAGCTTCCATAAGGAAGCTAGTTGCAGTGGTTGTGGCCCCTGCAGTGGCGAAGGTGTGGTCTGGCCCCTCCTCCTGAGCCTGCAGGAAGGACAGTACGGAACCTAAGAGACCACTCAACCTGCCAACTGCCATCTGGTCCTCCTGCTAATGATCAGGATTCATCAGAAACGCTCCCCTGGGGACAATGAAACCTTCAGGAGGGGTAATAAATAAATCTCACTCTACCACTCTGTCCCACTCCCCAAACAGCATATAAGTTCCATGAGGACAAGCTTGAGGGCAGGGATCTAAAAGGCCCAGGAGCTCATGGTCATGTTCAAACACTTGCTTAATTATCAGGATAGTGAAGGGAAAGGAAGCTGGGGGTTGGGGAGGGAAAAAAGGCTCTGGGATGGGAAAGGCTCTCCATGTATTTGATTTTATGGTCCCTGGTACAAGATACTAGAGTAAGATTTCCAGCTAGAGACAAATCCTACCAAGCTATCAGAAATGTTTTAAACCAAGTATAGGCAGGAAAACAATTCCAGACAGAACTTTGAAACTGGACAACCAATGAGATTATATTCAATTTTCATGGAAGGAAATTAGTTTTAAAATAATCTGTACATATACTCTATAGCTTCAGAAATCCACATACTAACAATAGGAAGTATCAGTAATAAACCCAAGAAGGTAAATTTCAAAAGAATTACAAAAATATGGCAAGATGAGACTCAACTGTAAGATGGCAGTGAAAACCTGCACCTTACTCAAGAAGGGAGGAAGGAGGGGGCACTGTGGGCAGGGGTGCAGAGAGGGCACCTACTGGTGCTCTGATATCAAGAGATATATGAACACTGGGGCCCTCAGCTGGCTCAGTCGGTACTCAACTCAATCTCAGGGTCATGAATTCAAACCCCACACTGGGCATGGAGCCTACTTAAAAAAAGAGAAAGAGAGAGAAAAAGATACATGCACAAAGATAAAAACCTTACTGAGGGAGAGGATGCCATCCCTCCTACCCCCTGCCAGAGAGGAAGGGTGACACTAATGTTGGCAGAACTGGGAGACTCAAGGACTCCAAAGCTTGGTTATCAATTGCTGGTGATCAGATAAACTCTCAATTTACCTTGCTGTCAAGTTAAGCTCACCAAAGAGCGGAAGAGGCAACCTCCTTTGCATAATTCTAACCAACAAGGAAGAAGTGATTATAAGGCAGAAGTGAGAGAAACCAAGACAAACAAGCAAGCAAGCAAGCCCTATAATCTCCAGGGAATGTTGGGCAGTCCTAGGAGAGCCTTTCTCAACAGGGTGGCGCCGGCATCCAGGCAGGACTCTGCACTTGAGCATCCCGAGCCCTGCCCATTACATGCCAAGCATTTTGACACCACCCCACCCTGATTTCCCAACATCCTCTAGAGCCCCAGCTGCTGAGAACCCCTGACACCATCAGTGGCCCGGATGCTAAAAGTCCTGCATTGCACAAGGAGGTCCTCCAGTCAAGAACTGTTAGGCCCCAAATGCCAATCACACCTTCACCAAGAACAACTTGAAGAAGATGGATTCAAGTCATTCAGAGAAAAAAGACAGATTGATATGAAGGTCTGAGACTCGAAAAGGCAAGATGACTTGAGAGGCTTGACAAATCCTCAAGCAAAAGTGCACCCCTATAACTGAGAATGACCGTGAGAAGGAAGAACTGGAGAAGGAATTTAAAGAAACCAATGTAAATTCAGAATATAAATTCAAGAGGGTATTATTAGAAATGATGGAAAAAAAGGGACTTGACAAAGGAAAACTGAGAGTGGCCCAGCTCTAGAACAGAATCAGGAAGACCAAAGCCTCTAAGAATGACAGGAGCTTACAAAATATGCCCACAAAGGTTTGTTTCAGTTCTGCAAGAAGCTATCCTGGGTCAGCTGCTCCAGGCTGATGGCGCCATACTGACAAACCAAAAGAAGAGCACAAGGGAAAGCAGAACCAGCCAACTAGCTCATTCCTTCTCCCGGCAGGGGAGAGCAGACTTCCCAGCCAGGGCAAGTGGTGAAGGAGAAAGACAAAAATGCTTCTCAAAATGAGGTCTATTTCAGAACCCAGAGGTGGATCTCAGGGTATTGAGGGAACCCAAAAGAGCGTGAGTGTGCTGCCCAGCTCTTCAAAGGGGAAAGGCCCACTGCCTTGACTCCTGCCCAGAGACCCTAATGCCCATGCCAGGCCAGAGTGCAGCAAGCTCCAGAAACAGATCACTGCCTAACAGCCCCGAGGGACTAACAGGAGACAGCCCTGACCCCAGCAGGGTTGGACTACTCCTGCATGGAAGCTTCAGCTCATCCCTGAGAGGACAGCAGGAGACAGCTATACACAGTGGGCTCTCTGTCACACAACTACAATGTATGCATCTGAGTTTGGGCAAAGTACTCAACAAGGTCTTTTTTTTTTTTTTTTTTGGAGATCTACGATGGGTCCTGGAAAGGCAACCATTCAAAATCTCCCCAGACAGGGGCGCCTGGGTGGCTCAGTCAGTTAAGCGTCTGCCTTCGGCTCGGGTCATGGTCCCAGGGTCCTGGGATCGAGCCCCACATCAGGAAGCCCGCTTCTCCCTCTCCCACTCCCCCTGCTTGTGTTCCCTCTCGCTGTCTCTCTGTCAAATAAATAAATAAATAAATTTTTTAAAAAATCTCCCCAGACAACCCTCACACAGGACCTGAGAACCCTTCAGGAGCCAGTAATTCGTAACTAGCTTGTGACCACGGTCCGCTCTTTAAGAAATCCAGACAGATGTACAGAGGAAGAATCAGCTGTGAAAGCCAGAGCTCCTTCAGATGTCAAATCAACGCTATGGACAGCAAGTCACAAGGTCGGGGTGCTTATACAGTTTAAAAAAGCATATTCGAGGGTGTCTGGGTGGCTCAGTTGGTTAAGCAAATGCCTTCGGCTCAGGTTATGATCCTGGAGTCCCGGGATTGAGTCCTGCCATCAGGCTCCCTGCTCAGCAGGGAGTCTGCTTCTCCCTATGACCCTACCCCCTCTTGTGCTCTCTCTCTCTCAAATAAATACAATTTAAAATAAATAAATAAAAAAGCATATTCGACAGCATCCTGTAATTTCATATTTGTTGAATGGAAAAGAGCACACTGTACCCCTAAAGGAACCACAGAAAGTAAAGCTGAGTGCCATCTTATTGGCTGTTGAGATGAGGTTAGAAGAGCAGAGAAACCCTATTCTAGGAACCTGGAGGTCAGAGCAAGGGAGGCCCAGCAAGCAACAGCAGAGGGTAATCGGTGCATGGAAGAGAGGATGTCAGGCCTTGAAGGATGGGGAAAAACCAAACCACTGCAGAGAAGAGAACAGGTGTGTCCGTGTGTTAGAAACGTATGCAGAGCCGTGGAAGGAAGAAATCACCGGGTGTGTTTGGGAAGCAGCTGGGAGCCAAATTTGGCTGGAGTGTTAACT